GGGCAGGAGGAGAGGGCGCGCGGGCAGGAGGAGAGGGCATGCGGGCAGGAGGAGAGGGCGCGCGGGCAGGAGGGGAGGGCGCGCGGGCAGGAGAGGGGAGGAGGGGGCATGGAGGCAGGAGGAGAGGGCGTGCGGGCAGGAGGGGGGGGCGCGCGGGCAGGAGAGGAGAGGAGGGGGCATGGAGGCAGGAGGGGAGGGCGCGCAGGCAGGAGAGGGGAGGAGAGGGCGCGCGGGCAGGAGGAGAGGGCATGCGGGCAGGAGGAGAGGGCGCGCGGGCAGGAGGGGAGGGCGCGCGGGCAGGAGGAGAGGGCGCGCGGGCAGGAGGAGAGGGCATGCGGGCAGGAGGGGAGGGCGCGCGGGCAGGAGAGGGGAGGAGGGGGCATGGAGGCAGGAGGAGAGGGCGTGCGGGCAGGAGGGGGGGGCGCGCGGGCAGGAGAGGAGAGGAGGGGGCATGGAGGCAGGAGGGGAGGGCGCGCAGGCAGGAGAGGGGAGGAGAGGGCGCGCGGGCAGGAGGAGAGGGCATGCGGGCAGGAGGAGAGGGCGCGCGGGCAGGAGGGGAGGGCGCGCGGGCAGGAGGAGAGGGCGCGCGGGCAGGAGGAGAGGGCATGCGGGCAGGAGGGGAGGGCGCGCGGGCAGGAGGGGAGGGCGCGCGGGCAGGAGGGGAGGGCGCGCGGGCAGGAGAGGGGAGGAGGGGGCATGGAGGCAGGAGGAGAGGGCGCGCGGGCAGGAGGAGAGGGCGCGCGGGCAGGAGGGGAGGGCGCGCGGGCAGGAGAGGGGAGGAGGGGGCATGGAGGCAGGAGGAGAGGGCGCGCGGGCAGGAGGAGAGGGCGCGCGGGCAGGAGGGGAGGGCGCGCGGGCAGGAGAGGGGAGGAGGGGGCATGGAGGCAGGAGGAGAGGGCGTGCGGGCAGGAGGGGGGGGCGCGCGGGCAGGAGAGGAGGGCATGCAGGCAGGGAGAGAGGGTGCGTGGGCAGGAGGGGAGGGCGCGCGGGCAGCAGAGGAGAGGAGGGGGCATGGAGGCAGGAGGAGAGGGTGTATGGGCAGGAGGAGGGGGCATGCAGGCAGGAGGAGAGGGCGCGCGGGCAGGAGGGGAGGGCGCGCGGGCAGGAGGGGAGGGCGCGCGGGCAGGAGGGGAGGGCGCGCGGGCAGGAGGGGAGGGCGTGCAGGCAGGCAGATGTGATCACCCACCGGACATGTCCTAACCTACACACCCCCACGCGTGTCCTCACACACAAGGGTCACTAACAGCAAGCAAAGACGTGACTGCGGCTGCTCAGTCCCCCAAGGCCTGCTCGACTCTCATTTACCGCTGCCCAGAAGCATTTAAGTATTTTGAAAAAAAAACATAATGGCCGGCATTTTTTTTTTAAACAAGAACAGGTTATACAATAAAGCATTTGAGCAAAACTTCAAACAAAAGCGGGCAAGTGCCTTTACTTTAGGGAGACATCTCACTTGCCGTTTCCCTGGTATTATTACAAGTTGAAGCCTGTGCACAATTAAAGTGATGTTTATGGTGTTTTTATTATTGTTTTATTTCTTAAAAGAAAGAATGATAAATATTCAGTGTAAGTGGTACACTGGCTCTACGCACACTCAGGAAACACTCAACTTTCCTTTAACGAGGAAAATAAAACCAAGAGGGTCATGGCAGCAGCCGAGAGGACAGCGGGCAGGAGGGACCGTGGCCCGGGGGGCCACATGTCCCTGCGAGGCCGGCCCGGGTCGGAGGGCTGGGTGAGGGGCCTGGCCAGCCTGGACCGCTCCCTCCCAGACGAGCCTTCCGTACCAGGAAACGGCTGGGGAGGAGGCGGGCACCGAGGCAGAGTGCTTGGCCGGGGCCGCAGCCCTGGGCGCCTGGCTTACTGTCAGCACCGGGCCTCCTGGCTGGAGAGCGCCGGGACGCGGCCCCACTCCGGAGAGGCTGCCGCCTGCTCCAGTCTTGCCCCCAGGCCCGAGGAGCAGCGTGTGCACAGCCCTCTGAGGTCGTCAGCTGCATCAAAAGCCTCCTAAGAAACAAGCTGCTTATTTGCTCTCTGGTTTTCTCCTACTGCTCCGTTCACTAAACAGTTTCCGGAGCCTGCTCTGGGCTGGGCTCTGGGTCAGTTGCTGAGAGCATGGAGCCGGGTGGACGCGGTCTCTGCCCTGGAGGAGGTCCTCACAGTGGGACCCACAGAGGAGACACACGTGGGGGCGTGTGGCCGCCCAGGGCACGGCCAGGAGCTTCCAGGAGAGACCCCTGCGGGTGGGGAGGGCGCAGGTGAGGCTCGGCCAGAGGCAGGGGCGGCAGAGGTCGGGGTGCGAGGACCGGGTCCTCCCGGAGTCCCGGTCTCGCCTCGCCCCGGGGGTCGGCTGCCCAGTGGAGGCAAGGGGAGGGGAGACGCCGCTGAGTCCTGTTTCGGGGAGCGTCTCCTCTGTGGGGTCTGAGTGAGGTGAGTCCACCTGCATGCAGGCTCCATCTGGAGGAGTACGCTATCAAGATCCGAACTGCCTCTAAAAGCCTCATCACTAAACAGGTGTCCACAGCCCCTGGTGATGTCCGTTCCTCGACACAGCGCCGTGGCTCTCAGCGGACCCTCGGGCTCTGACGTGCACCCCACTTCAGGGCCCACTAGACGTCCTGTCCCCTCACAACCAGGAGAGGACCCACACGGATCCACGTGACGGCAGTGCTGAACGGCAAGGTGGCCTCCCGGCGCGGGGCGCGCTCCGCCATTCCCCCGGTCGGGGGCGGGGGCCCTCGGGGTCTGGGCTGTGACAGCCGGCGCAGCAGAGGGCAGGGGCCGCTGCCTGTGGCCCGACCCGGGTCCTCCTTCACTTCCTCACGGCCTGCACCCCCGACGGGTCCTATGACACAGCCCCGACGGCGGCCGCCAGTGGACATGTCGCTAGCTGAGCACCCCGAGGCCGCGCCTCCCTGGATGGCCCCAGCCCAGCGTGGGGAGGTCCCGGGAGCCCCAGGGGTGCGGGGGCTGGGGTTTAAGCCCCACGGTCTTGGTTCTCCTTCATTCCCCCTCAGCCAACGGGCCCCAGCTGAGGGCGGACACGGCGGCAGGGCTGGGCTGGGGTCTGGCGGGCTGCAGGCGGCCGGGAGGTGACGGGGCTATTTATCTGGAGGGGCCTGGCCGGGCCGCCCGGGGAGTTCAGGCGGTCAGAAGCGTCCAAGGCGATTAGTGGAGTCTGACAGGGATGTCGTGACCTCGGGGCAGAGCCATCCAGTTAGGAGCCAGCCCTGCAGGGCCCCAGCGCCCCGGGCATGTGATGCTGAGCGGGGGTTCCCAGGGTGGCGGGCATAGTGCCCAGAGCCGGCCTTTGGCGCTGGCCAAACGGCTTCAACTACTGGCTCCTCGGTCAGGGCCTTCCTCCGGGTCAGATGGGGTCATGCGGAGGGGCGGGAGAGTGGAGCTGGCTGTCAGTGAGCGCCGACCCACCCACAGAGCCCCGAGGCCTGGTCACCTGCCAGCAGCCCAGAGGGTGAGCCATCTACGATGCCACGGAAGGGCCGGCCTGAGGCCCCAGCGGGCAGGAAGAGCTTCCTGACTTCAGGTCTGTCATCTGAAATCCCCACTCACTCCTGGGGCCACGGCGGGTCATCCAAGGCTTGGCTGTAGGGACAGTGGGAGCCGCGTCCTACTGTGCCTCTGGAGGCACGCGGCCAAGGCCCAGGTTTGGCTGCGGGCAGCCGGGTGACCAGGTGCGCCCCTGGGCTCAGGCTGCAGTGCCCCAGCCTCAGCTCCCAGCATCACAAGCCCCCTCCCTGAGGGTTCCCGCATCACCGGATGCTTGTCGTCTTGTGGAGAGCCCTCCCTGCCCAGGCTGAGAGCCTCAGCTCTGTCTCCTGGAGGACCTGGGGGCACAGTGCTCGTGGGGCCACCTCTGGTCCCCCAAACACCACACCAGCTCGTGTGCAAAATGCCGTCACCCCTCCCAGTATCCAGACCTTCACCCCGTTACAGACTTAACTCTAACGAGCCCCAAACTCTCCTCTCAACATCACCAGCTCTCGTCTTGCCAGCTAAGCCCCCAGCTCAGGCCTGAGTGGCCCAGGGTGCTCTGTTCCGGGCAAGACACCTCCCTGTGTGGGCGGTGAAACTGGACGAGTTACCGGCTCTCACACGCAGGCACGCGGAGAACGTGGAAGGAGCTCAGAGGTCATGGTCCCGGGCAAGTCTGAAACCCAGCAAAACAAATCCCAGTGGGCACCCAGGCCTGCCCTGCAGCTGACCCTCCGGGCCCACGGAAGCCCCATGGGCTGCATCCCTGGCCTTGGACCCAGCCGAGGTGCATCCTCAGACATGCCACTGCTCTACCCTCGCTTCCTCTGAGGACCAGAGACCTTCCCTGGGCCCGGAACGCCTGGTGGTCTCCCAGGTTCCCACTAGCCTGTGTTCCCCACCCTGTAGTCCCCACGGACAAGAGGACAGTCAATCTATCACTGTTTCCCCCCTGAGGGGAGGGATCAGGGCTGCTGGACCGGGCCGGAAGGGACCAGGAGCAGGGGTGGTGAGGACCCCCCGCTGCCACCCTTCTCTAGGCCTCCACGGAGGACGCGGTGCCTGCGGTGACACCAGGAACGCACCGTCATCCGGGTGTCCCCGGACTGTCCTGCCCTGGGCAGCCACAGTCCCGATGGTGTTTAACGTGAAATCCCCGCGGTGAAGCATGAGGGACTCGGGAATGAGCGCCCACACACCCTTGCCGCCCTGACTCGGGGGCTTGCAGAAAGCAGAGGGGCTCTGGCTGGCGCCTCACTCAGGGCCCGCACTCCTGGGCCCAGACGCCCCCCCGGGGGCCTCCTTCACCGAGAACACCCGCCGGTGAGGCTCCGGCCGCCGGGTGCTGCTCCGAGCACTGAGGCGAGCCCTGGATCCAGGACGCAGGCAGGACGGACGGAGGGAAGATGGGGCAGCGCTGGCCCAGCAGCGGGGGGCGCACGGGGGCCGGCCCCCTCCCTGCCTGCTCGAGAGGGGCCCAGGGTAAGGGGTATTGAGGCCAGACTGACCTTGAGGGCCGGGATCTCCACGCTGTCGCCGAGGCTGACGGAGCCCGAGAGGATGGTTCCCGTCATCACAGTGCCCTGGCCTTTGATGGAGAAGCAGTGGTCCACAGACATGAGGAATGGCCCCGAGGGGTCCCTCGTCGGGATGGAGATCTGGGACGTCAGGAGCTGCAAAGACAGGCCTGTGCCACACCCCGGCGGGTGGGGAGCTGGCGGGAGGGTGGAGACCTCCCGACTCTACTTTGTTCCTTTCTGCCTTCATTAGAGAGGACACTGTCAGGAGCTGTCTGGTACCGAACAGTCCAGAGTCCTGGTCTTGTGGTAACGACTCTTTTGGAAAAAGACCAGAGTATGTGAGCAGGCCCAGCCCAGAGGCTTCCGACAGGGACACACAGACACGTCCCACAGCAGAAACCACCGCTTCAGTGTCCCAGACCAGTGCGACCTGGAGCTGATGAAAAACTCAGCAAAGCTTCACCCAGAAATGGGTTTGCTGAGTCCGCAAAGTGGGCTCTGTACAATCACAGAAACGGAGGCCGCGCACGTGGTCACGCCTGACCCAGGCCTGCAGACCCAGGGCAGGTGGACCCCGGAGCCATCCTGCCGGCCGACAGAGGTCTGCACCGCAGCTCCACCTCCTGCTCACTATGTGAGCCTGGGCCAGCCACTTAACCCCTCTGAGCCCCAGGCTCCTTCCTGCCAGAATGCGGGTCACTACTGAAGCCTCCCGAGGTTTGTTAATGATCACATGACTGCGAATGTTCACGATCACGTATGAGCAGAGCTCAGTGCAGCTCTGGGAATGCGACGACCAACCTCCCCGCTGGAAACGCTCTGACGGGACACCGTCCTGGCCCTGGGGGTGGGGGTGTGTGCTGTGGGTTTAACCTCGTGAGGAAGGGCAGGGAGGTGCAGCCCTGCATGGATGCAGCTGACGTACCTCGATGAGCTCCTGGATGCCCTGTGGAGCTTCCGTTTCAGGGGCGTCCGGTCCCCCAGGCTTGGCCGCAACAGGTATGACAGGTGCGCCCCTGAACCTGGAAGAGAGACAGGCCCGCTGAGGTCACGGAGCATGTCCAGGGCCGCCTGGAGGACAGAGTGTGACGGAGGCCTCTGCGCCCACCTGGCCAGAGGGACTGCGGGGCGACCGTCACGCTCCCCCCGGCAGACCCCGGGCAGAGGCCCGTGCTGAGCCACAAACGCTAGAGGGGGACCCTGGGTCTAACCTCCTCACTGAGCCCTCCTGAGGAGGCACAGTGAGGCCCAGGCCCTGTCCCTGAGGAAAGACCCCCAGGGAAGACCCCCGGGCCCCGCCCAGCCTCTGCAGGGACTCAGGATGTGCCAGGCGCCTGCAGGCCACTCCACAGCCTCCGGCCTCCCGAGCCCTGCCTCTTTAAGCAAAGGCTCCCACTGAGTGGACACTGAGCTTTTCCACTGGAAAACAAACAACACCCACAAACACAGAGAAGAGAAAACACCCAGCTTGCAGTCCCTCAACGGGGCTGCGCTTCTTCCAGCCTCGGCCTCCCAGCGCACTGCCAAGGATCCACTGTCTTCAGAGTGTGGTTACGTTAGTCACACACTTTCATGTCCTTCTAGCTTATTTGCCATTATATTAGAAAGACTTTTCTGTTGAAAAATAACAATAATAATGACTCATTTGACTAAGCCAAGAATACGACAAGGACGCTCTCATTGAAACCCCAGAAACGAGGATGGAAGTGTCACCGTCTTACAGACGCGAAGGAACAGCTCAGAAGGCGAGTCAGTCTGCTCCGAACCCCGCCGTCAGCGGCAGGGCCAGGCTGCAGCTGCCGCCTCCAGAGCTCGGGCTTGAGACCGAGGCCGCCTCCGCCCTCAACAGCTGCACCACCGTGGGGCCCGGAATGCACACGCTGTCCCCACGAATGGGACTCATCCAGAACATTTCAGATTCTTCACTGTTACAAATAACACTGAGATACACATGCCTTTGTATATGCCTTGATTTGGGCTACATTCATGAGGCGTATGTCAAAGATTCAACAAACTGAAAAACCAGTGAAATGTGGAGTGAAGACACTCAGAGAGGCTCTTCATAAAAGCGCTGGAAACATGATCAAAACCAGCTTTGTCAGAACCCTGCAGATCAACAGAGGCCTGCAGCTGTCTGCGGAAGGTTCAGTCAGGAGAAGCGGCCGAGCTCAGCGCGAACCCCTGCGCGAGGGGACCGCTGCGGCGCCGTAACTGCCTGTTCCCACGCGCCCTCCTCGCCCCTGCAGGAGACAGAGTGGGAATCAGCAGCCCGGTGGCCACTGCGAGCAGCGGCGTGTCTGCACCCTCGGAGCCCCTCCCTGGGAAACGGCGTCATTTCTCCTATTTGGCGGCTCCTTGGGAAGCCAGCTCTCAGCCCGAAGCGGGGCGCAGGCCTCGGAGACCGTCCCACGCCCACACCTCGGCCCATGCTCCACCAGCCACGGGCCCATGGCCGCAGAGGTGGGGAAGGCAGGTGCTGAGAATTCCAGCGATTAACCATAAAGCTTTCGGAAATTCAATTATTGTTTATCCAAACCCTTTTGGGCAGTGCACTGTAACAGAATGCATCGGCGTGTTGGGCTGGTGTCTGACCTTGTCCCAGGCTCCCGAGGACCTGGCTTGCTGGTCTGCTGAACGCCGTGCATCCTGGCTGCTGGCTCCTGGGGGACAGGTGGCCCCTGCCCAGTTCAGACCTAGGCTGCTGTCTGGGCTCTTGGGGCCCAGGGGTGCTGGTCAGACATGGCAGGAAGAGCCCAGAGCACTGCCCCTCCTCCCAGCAGCGCGGGAGCGGGGAGAAGGTGCCTCCTCTTCCCAGGCGCCCCCCCGCCACCCCGCCACTGCTGCGGCTCCTCATGGTGTGAGCGGGGCCCAGACCTGCTGACGGTGCACGCAGGCTGACCTTTGTCAGCACACAAGACCCACCTCAGATCAGCTAAAACCACACACATGGGTGTGTGTGTGTGTGTGTGATGCACGTAAAAGGTGTACACAAAGGGAATCTGAGCTTTAGGTTTGGAATAGCAAAAGGCAAAGCAATGGTATTAAAAAATACAGGCGATACTTACGATTCCTTATTCTGCTCACAAGTCAAGCCAGACACAAAGCCGGGGGTAGCTGAAGAGTGGCTGTGAGGGAAGGCCCCAGCCCAGAGCCGAGCGCGCAGTAGGTGCTCCACACGCGACAGCTCGTGACGAAGCCCCTCGACGTCTGGGCCCCACACCAAGGCTCCCTGACGATAAACACGCCGAGGCCAGACCTATCAGCATGCGCTCCACAGAGGAAGAAACACGGAGCACGGGAGAGGACGTCAGGGCCGGAGACCATGCCAGCTGCGAGCGGGTGCAGCATGTGCCGCATGGAGCCGCCAGGCCCAAGGGAGGGGCGCTGTGAGCAGAGAGCTTGGTTAGAACAGAAACAGGAGGGAACCAGAGCAGGTCTGGGAGAGAGTCCCCAAGACACTGTCAGACGACAAACCTCAGTGGAGAAACAAACAGAACAGCCTAGAACACAGCAGCGCCGGTGTGTGATAACAGCCACATCAGATCACGTGCGTGTGGGGGAGACGGGCAGGGGCCTGCAGGAAAAGCACTGTGATTTGATGCGTTGGGAAGATATGGGTACACTGGTACCGTCTATTTTTGTTTTTGTTAACACTGATAAATACTTATGCAAAAGTAAATTTAAATGCCTTCAGAGATAAAGACATCACAAAGAAAAATAATCAAAGAGCATGACTACATAAAAATTAGAAACTTCTGCATGTTAAAAAAAAACAGAAAGACAACAAGTGCTAAAGACTTAACTTATAGGAAATGTGACAGGCAAAGGGTTAATTAATGACATCCTTATTGATATTAAACACTCCTGAAAATCAAAAAGCAAGCATTAAAATTGCAAGAGGCAAACAGACAAAACATACAGGCACAAGTTAAATATGCAAAAATACAACAATTTATATATATAAGAAAAATTTTCAGCCTTACCAGTAATTAAAGAATCACATATTATTATAGCAAGAGTGAAACAACCTTCTATCTTAAAGTTTTCAAATCTATCTTTAAATCAGACACTAGTGTCCACCTGTGAGAAACGTAAGAGCACCAGAGACGCAAAAAGGACCCAGAAGGGCTCCTGCCCTTTGACCCGGGACTCTCTCAAGAGAGAAAACTCAGAGGACGGACACAGCTGAATGCCGGTCAAAGATGTTCATCAAGGATTATTTATAAGAAAGAAAACTTAAGCCATTCCCAAGCATCAGCAACAGAGTCATGGTCACAGGAAGAACTGCTCTATAAAATGTTAAGTAACAGAAGCCCAAGTCAGGAAGGTAAATACCTCAGGACCACAGCCATATGCTTAAAGGGGGAGAACTGAATTCAGCAAAGTTGCACGGTACGAGGTCAACACAGAAAAATCACTTGTGTTTCTATATACTAGCCAGAACAATCTGAAATAGAAATTAAGACAGGATTTCTGTTTATAATAGCATCTAAAAGAATGAAATACTTAGGAATAAAGCTAACCAAGGACATGAAAGGCTTGTATACCAAAACCAACAAAACTTGGATACAAGACATTTGTAAAGATCTAAACAAAGAGAAAGACATTCGTGTCAATGAACTGGAAGACTTACTCCTGTTAAGGTGTCCATTCTACCTAAAACCATCTGCAGATTCAATTCAGTCCCTATTACAATTCCAACCACCATTCTGTACTGAAATGGAAAAGGAGATCCTCAAATTCAGATGGGAATTGCAAGGAGACCCCAAAGTCAAAACAATCTTGAAAAAGCAGCAGAAAGTTGGAGGGCTTAGCTTCCTAACGCAAGCTTGCCAGAAAGGGGCAGGGACGAGGCAGGGCAGCGCCAGCGAGGACACACAGGGACCTCTGGAGCCCACACGCGAAAGGACGAAAGGGAAACAGACGGTGGTGGGAGCACGGGACTTCTGCAAAGGAATGGAGGTGCGCCTTTAATGCAGACCACGGGTCACTGGTAAAAGATAACCAGCGACAGAGGGAAGGCCTATACTTGAGAACTAACACAATAAAATTCTCAGACAAAAGAAAATTGGGGAAAATCTTCGTGACGTTGAATGTGGCAACAGTTTCGTGGATATGACACCAGAAGCACAGGCAAAAAAGAAAAAGAAAGAAATTGGATTTCATCAAAATTAAAACCTTTTGTGCATCAAGGAATACTATCAAGAAAGTTAGAGACAGCCTGCAGAACAAAAGAAAACATTTACAAGTCTGACGTGGGCTTAGCCTTCAGAATATGTAAAGAGCTCCTTCAGCTCAAGAACAAACCACCTGATTAAAAAATGGGCAAAGGATCTGAGGGCCGTCTCTCCAAAGAAGACAGACAACAGCCAACACGTACATAGGAGTCTCCACAGCAGTCACCATGGAAAGGCAAACGAAGCCCACAGCGAGGCTCCGCTTCCTACCTCCTAGGAGGGCTGCAAAGGGAGGATGCGGAGAGACGGGGACCCTCGTGCACCACGTGGGAAACGGCGCAGGGGGCCCCAGAAGATCCCCGAGAGAGCGAGTCACCACGTGAGCCGGGCCCACTCCCAGGTTCACACCCAGAGGGACAGGGGCAGGGCCGGCAAGGGAGCTTTACTCCCCGCGTCCCTAGCAGCGTCACTGCTCACAGCCAAGAGAAAACAGCCCGTGTCCATCAAGAGATGAACGGACAAGCAAAATACGGCCGAAACCCAGTAGAAGGACTGCGAGTCTGACACACGCCCCAGCGCGGACGGACCTGGAGCCCCGCGCTCAGCGAAGCAGGGCAGACAGAAGGCCACATGCGGCCTGATTCCACGCCCGTGAGGCCCCAGGGCAGTCAGGCTCCCACAGACAGAGGCAGAGCCGAGGCCAGCAGGGCCCGGGGGGCCGCGGGGAGCAGTGACCGGTCATGGGGACCGCGAACAAGGGCTGCAGACAGCGGTGACGGGCGCACAGCTCTGTGAAGGCGTTCAGCGCCTCGGCAGTGAGTTTACAGATGGATAAAAGCATAAACATCGTGCTATGTATGTCTTACTACACTTTCTGAACGTGGAAGACAGGGTGGGGTGATGTGGTGCGTGGTTAGAAGACAGGAATGGGATAAACCACGTCAGCAGCTGCTGCTCTGAGAAACCTTTTGGGGGCTTCACTTTCTCTTAACAACTTTCCTCTATTTTCCAAAGTTTCTTTCAGTTACTCTTTGGATAGGAAAAATAAAGCACCATGTTTTTACCACTTTCTAGGTTTTGATACATACGTAGGTTGGCTGTCCAGATTTCTCATTTCTAGACAGAAAGTTGCTTCGTGTTTGAGAAAGCCGCTACAAAGGGTTTACCTGACAAGGGACCTTAAGGAAAGGAAAAGTGAAAGGCGCTCAGCCGTGTCCGACTCTTTCGACCCCGTGGACTACACAGCCCATGGCATTCTCCAGGCCAGAACACTGGAGTGGGTGGCCTTTCCCTTCTCCAGGGGACCTTCCCGACCCAGGGGTAGAACCCAGGTCCGCCGCACTGCAGGCGGACTCTTTCCCAGCTGAGCCGCCAGGGAAGCCCCACGGCCGCTGAAGAGGACTGAAAGGAGCGCTCAGCTGCGGGCAGGCAAGAGCTCGGCTCTTCCCACGAGACGGCTGCCCGGCGGGCGCGCTCGAGCCTCTCCACCCCCAGGCGCTGCGCGAGGAGGGCTGAGCCTCAGCGGCCCTGCAGGGGCCACTCTCCTCTGCATCGTGATAAAGGCCGTGACTGACCTTCACCCGATAAATTAAAACGGGAAGGGTAATTAAAAGGTGCACGTGAGCCTTTTCCTTGAATTTACCTGATCTAAATGCTTGGTATTAATTGACCCGTAGTAGCATCCTAAGCGCTTCCCAGAAGGTCTCATTTATAGAAAACGATACGGACACCGTGCAGGAGTCCCCAGGACCTGGTCTCCCCTTTCTGACAAGTAAATAAAACGGCAGGGAGATCAAATAACTCACTAGAAAGAAGATATAACTTTTTATCTTCCTTTTTACAGTCTCACATCCACTTCCGCTGGGAATAACAAAGTCTGAATTCTTATGCAACACTTATCTAAATGTGTCGATTTTATCAGATTGATGAATTTTGCTAACAAAAGGCAGCGCTGGGAAATCTTTTATGACACATTTGGCCCATTCTCAGGGCTGAAGCTTTAATTTAACCAACTGGAGAATTCTGAGCGAGAGCTGCAGGTGTTAGAGCCGAAAAAAGCATCATAGAGGGGAAAGCATATCCATCTTTGTGACGGGGAGACAAAACCACCTCCACTGTCCGCGCCCTGCAGGGGGGAGGAGCAGGGGCCGGGGCTCGATGGAGTCGGGGGCCGCGGGTCCATTCTGATCAGAGGGCGCTGGCCGCGAGGGGGGCCCAAGGATGCAGCAGGCGCGTGGATACCCATGCTCCGTGGGTGTCTTCTGCTTTTGCCTCCGTGGCCGCCGAGCACCCAGGGGGCTTTCTGCCCCCCAAACCCTGAAGACCAGCAGCTGGCGAAGGACAAGGCCGCCCGGTCGCCCTCTCCCGGGGCTCACCCCTGTCTCTGGGACCCTCCTGACCACAGCCTGCCTCTCCCAGTCACGCCCCTGCACAAAATTCAACAACTCCCCACTTCCCACAGGACAGAATCGTAAACCCCTTGGCATGAAATACTCCAGAGGGCCCTGTGATCCAGCCTTTGTCCATCACCCCTCCGTCCACCTGTCCGTCTGAGCCTCCAACTCCATAAGCCTCTGTGACAGTCACGTCCAGCCATCACCCCAACCCACCCCCGTTCCGATAACCAGGTCTCGGCTGAGCACGCAGTGAGCAGGCAGGACTGAGGCCTCATCCACAGGGCCTCGGGTCGGGGGCGGCTTGGGGCCCTTTCAGGCCATGTGATTCCTGGACCCTCGTGGGCCAGTGCCCGGCTCTGACCGCTCCCCCAGGACACACCCAGAGTGGCGGGGCCAGCAAGACGCAGGCGGCCTGGGTCCCTGAACGAGACGCCGACGGAGCCACCCGCCACTCACATCAGGAAGCCGCCCCTCCCGGCTCCTCGTCCTCCGGCACAAGCACCGCGGCCTCTACCCCGTCGGCAAACCCACTTGGTGTTCTCCAGGGTCTTCTGCATCTTCCTCGTCATCCTGTCGATCGCGGCCTGTCTCTTCCCTTCAGGCAGGAGGTCGGTCTTGTTCAGCACCACGACCAGCTTCTGGCAGGCAATCTGCCCAATCACGAGGCACTCGGCCGACTGGGTCTGCATCCCCTTGGTCACGTCGATGACCAGCATCATCAGGTCGATGATCTGGGCCCCTGGGGGAAGAGAGGACCAGGTCAGAGGGGAGCGGGGGTGTGCCTGGCGACCGCAGCCCCTAGCGCCGGGTGGGGGGGTCACCTGGCTGGGAACGCTGGCCGCTCCCGGTTCTATAACCAGATTTCCCCGTCTCTAAATGGGCAGCACGGCAGGCTCGCTGGGGGCTCCAGGAGCCTGTGCGCATGGCGGTCTGGCAGCTGAGGACTCGCTCTCCGGCCGCCCTTTCGCTGTGGTCAGTGTTATTCTGTCAGCCCACTGGGGGAAAACCAGAACCTCCATACAGTCTCAAGTTGCTTCTTCCTGATGCTGGGCAGGGCCTCCACCTCTAACCTGAGCGGCTTGCCTTCCGTGGCTCTGCCCTGCCTGCTGTCTGACGGCCCCCCGGCCACCAGCCTCCGTGCCGGGCCGCGGACCCCCGCCGCCCTGTGGGGTCTCTGCCCCGGCCCGTGCCCAGCCTCTCCGAGTCCTGGCAGCCCCCCGGCCTCCCACACCGTCCCAGCCTTCTTTCCTGCCCTGTTTCCCCAGGACACTTAGTACCTCTGCCTCCGCCTGCAGCAGGCGCTGCCTGGGGCTGGCCTGGCCTCCCCGCCCGCTGCCACCTTCGGGGGTGGGACACGGATGGATACTGTTTCCCCTTCAGATTGGATTGTTAGTCTCTGTTGCCAATTTAAAGCCACTTCAACGTTGCTAAGCCAAGAGGAGGGGCTGGGGGCGCCTGCAAGGGCCCCGTTGACACTTTTCTCTTTGTTGCCGACTCAAAGAGACGCTGACGCATCCTGGGCGGGGAAGGCGCACTGCAGGCCTCTCTCCTGAGCCACCTTCGCGTTTGCGAATCCTTCCTTCCCAGGCAAAAATGGTTCCTTTCTTTGCGGAAACGGTCAGTCTTTCCTCTTCCCCTTTTGTTTCTGGGCTCTGTGTGTTACCCAGTTATTTTTTACTTTTAAGATTATATGTATTTCCTCACGTGTTTTCTTCCAGTCCTTTTACAGCTTTAAATGTCTATGTTTCAGAGACTTTGCTGGCAGCCCAGCGGTTAAGAATGCACCCTGCAATGCAGGCAACATGGGTTCGGCCCCGAGTCGGGGGACTAAGATCCCGCACGATTCTGAGCGCCAGAACCGGAGGGCCGCATGCCGCAACGGAAGGTCCGCCAAGACCTCAAGGGCAACCGAGACTCGATGCGGCCAAACGTGCTGTACACACTTACAAGTCTCTGCTTCAAACTGACCCATTTGGAATTTATTCTGGCCTAACATGCAAGGTGGAGACCGCACTTGAGTGTTCTCTGGACGGCGACCCGTGGCCCCCAAGTCACGGGAACCCTCTCTCCTCTGCAGGTCCCAACAGTGAGACTCGGGAGAGGCGCACTCGGGGGCCCTGCAGCCGGAACCCTTGCCCCCGGCGGCCTGCGCCCAGCCCCGCGGGGGCCGTGTCGCGGGCCTCCGACATTCGCTGGCTCCTGGCTCGTCCTCCTCTTGGCAGGGGCCCAGCATCTCTCTGTCTGCTGTCTTGTCCTCGGCTGTTTATTTTTTTCTCGTCTCCGACACCGCTGGCTGTGTCGTTCCTCCTGTTCCTCCTCTGCTGACATGGCCCTTTCGTCCTCCCGGGCTCTTCAGGGGGTGGTGTGTGAGACGGTGCTCGGCCCAGGTCGTCCCGAGGACGCTGGCAGCTTGCCGCTGCGCCCTGTCCTCTCCCGTCTTCTTGGCTTCCTCGGAGGAGCCTGGCCCACCTGCTCCTCGGGATGCCATGGGGGCCCAGAGGCCCCGGCCCGCAGGCGGCCGGCAATGGAGGAGCGGCACGTGAGCGCAGGCGCTGCAGGCTCGAGCCCCGGCCCGCAGGCGGCCGGCGATGGAGGAGCGGCACGTGAGCGCAGGCGCTGCAGGCTCGAGCCCCGGCCCTGCTGCTCAGTGTCCTGGGCCCGGGCCCCCGCCTCCCGACTGTGAGACAGGGTCTCCTCGCGGGCCGAGCCGAGGGCCTGGGCTGGCGCACAGCAGGCAGGATTCAGGCGCACGTGCAGTCAGGAGCTGGGCCGCTAGCACAGACAGCAGGGCGGGGCGACCGGAAGCCGTGGGCCCGGCAGGACGGCTCCTTGGCCACGTCATAGGCAGGCCTGGGGTGGCCACAACCGCCGACTCCCAAAGATTCTACCCGACCCATCTCGGGCCGAGTGTGGGCAGTGTGTGCGGGCTGAGTTGCGTCCTTCCCCAGGCCGCCATCCGCAGCCGGCCCCGCGCAGGCCCGGTCCCAGCCCGGGGCCTGTCCCTGGGGCCGGCAGCCGCTCTGGGGCTCCTGCGGGTCTGGCAGCACGCTGGGTCTGCCAGACACAGGGTCAGCGCGTCACTGACGGGAGCTGGTCGGACTGCTGTGGCCCCTCGCTGGGCAGGATGTGTGTGTGTGCACGCGCGCGCGCACAAGGGTAGCCCCCTTTGCAGGCCAGGTTCAAGCAGTCCGAATCTCCTGCCCACTGGGGTACACAGTACTCCAGGCCACAGCCTGGCACTCGCCAAGGGCCCCGTGGAGGGCCTCCCAGACGCTGCTCGGAACCGTTCCACGCGGCCGCGGTGCCTCTCCTGTCCCCTCTCCCTGGGTGGAAGCACCATCCCAGCAGTCCTAGGGTTCTGGCGCCCGAGGCGCTTCCCACGGCCCCTCCCGAGGCACCTCCCGCAGCCTCGCTGCCATCCAGAGGCTCCACCCAACGTCCCCGCGCACGGAGGCGCTCGCTGTGCTGGGAAACGCTCCCGATGCGCAGGACGCCGGCGTCCACTGCAGCTCTACGGTGGGTTGTAGGCACCTACCCCACTTCTTGAATATTTAACGTCACCAGTTAAAGTTTTTCCTTTGTTTTAAATTCAATATTACTTCTAAATAAGGGTGCCCATAGCTTTTTATTAAAACTCAAACTTGGGTTAACGATCTGGTTTTGCTAAAATGGTTAACATTTTATATTCAGTTTCTCCCGTTGAAAACTTTTTTTCTCCCCAAACACATTTTCCCCCCTTTTAGTCCCAGAAGGAAAATTTCATCTCACAGATAACGTGTTAAATGCTGATCTTTGTAGATTTTTCTTTACTTTTATTTCCGAAACGATTAAGATATATAATCTATGGAATTGGAAATTGTAATTTTTAAAAGTACTGAGAAACTTCAGCCGTGTTCTAATTGCTCTGCAAACCTTTAACGGACTCTGCAGTCCTCACAAGCAGATGGAAATCGCTGATAGACGGAGAAATATAGAGGGGCACTTGTGAGCGGCGAGTTTGCGACTTGTGTTTCCCACCCACTCGCTCCTTCTGGCCCTGCAGCCTCAGAGTGATTTCCTACCCTGGGTTCATGGGAATCGGAAAAGACACTGCTTGATTCATTCTGTGGAAATACTGGGGATTTAGAGAAAGACAAGACAGGCCAGTTATGTCACTTCCTGTCCCCGGATCAAAGTGTGGTGAAGAAACAGTGATCGGGGGCTGGTGCCGGGCGCGGGTGGCTCCTGGCTCTGACCCGGCTTCCAGCGGGGCCCCTCGAGCCGCTGTGACCTTGGGACCCCTCAGAAGGCCCTGGTGTCGGCTGTGCCAAGCGCCTACCGCGGAGGTGGTGTGCGGCGCCGGAGGGAGGCCGCGGACAAAGCCGAGCGTCCAGGTCCCGTCTGCACCAGCTCTGACAGAGAGGGCCTGACAGTTCCCTCTCCCACCCCGAGGATCCCAGGAGGCACCAGAGGTGGGGGGCGGGGGGGTGGACAACTCGAGCCTCCCCTCCCACGGCAAGGCACTCAGGCTGCTCTGCACGCCAGCAGGGAGCGGACGCTCAGCCTCAGGACCACATTCCTGGTCAACCGAGGGGAGGCTGGGGAGGCCGCCGTCTGCCTGCTCAGGCCCACAGACTGATTAAGCCCTGCCCCAGCTCAAGCCTGTGCTGAAGGCTGTGAACACAGATGAAAACGCAGGTCCTGGTCTGTGAGCCGCAGGGCGGGAGGAAGGGGCTGGGCAGAGGAGCCGGACTCACAGTGGGGGCAGGAGAGACGCCACGGGGCCGGCCCAATTCTGGGGTCCAGTGGAGGCGGGGAGGAGCACGGGACCGCCCTGATCCTGGGGTCCAGGCAGGGGAGGACTGTGGGGGAGGCAGCTGGACTGGGGCTGGGTCCCCGTTCAGAAGGACAGGCCGTGTGGCTGACGGGATCTTAAGTGGAAGCATGAAAGCCTCTTTAAGAGAGTCTTTAAGGGTAGACCTTTAAGAGAACTTCTTGAGAGGCGGGGCTGATAAAGATGGGGCGTGGAGGGAGGTCCTGGGGCTGGAGGTCTGGAGAGCAGGCGACCCTGCGTCAGGGAGGGCATCCCAGTTACCCGGTGCCCCACCCATGAACACTGCTGCTAGTATTGGGGACTTAAGTGTGTTTAAAGTGAGTCTTTTTTTTGGAAGTCAAATGCACTTATACTAAATACAACATTACATGGCTTCCCTGGTTCTTCCCTGGTGGCTCAGAGGGTAAAGCATCTGCCTGCAATGTGGGAGACGAGGGTTCAATCCCTGGGTCGGGAAGATCCCCTGGAGAAGGAAATGGCAACCCACTCCAGTATTCTTGCCTGGAGAATCCCATGGACAGAGCCTGGTGGGGTACGGTCCATGGGTCGCAGAGAGTCGGATGCGGCTGAGCAACTCCACTTTCTTTCTTTCCGGGAAGATCCCACGTGCAGCAGAGCAACTAAGCGCAGACGCCCAAGTACTGAAGCCCGTGTGCCTGGAGCCTGCGCCTCACAGCTAGAGAGTGGCCCCTGCTCGCCGCAGCCAGAGAAAGCCCGAGCACGCTGACAAAGACCTAGAGCCGCCACAAGGAAAAACAGCTAAAATGGAAGATAAACGACAAAGCAAAACTCGAGGCGTCGCTCTGAGCCCCAGGCCTGCTGTGCACGAGGGGGTCGGCAAGAGCGCGTGAAGGACACGCCAGACCTAGCTGCCTCTCTCCCTGCAAAAGAACAAGGGCTGGATGACAGTCGGGAAAGGCGTGACC